TAGTGATTGGACTGTGTCCAATTGCCCCGTGTCCAACTGATATACACCCCGGCCAAATCGCTTCGGAAAGAAGACAATGCTCTGCGTTTGGTGGGACCAGAAGGGAATCGTGTACTATGAGCTGCTGAAACCGGGCGAAACTGTCAATAAGCATCGCTGCCGACAACAACTGATCAATTTGAACCATGCATTGCTCGAAAAATGACCAGAATGGGACACGAGACACGAACGAGTGATATTGCAGCACGACAACACCGTGTCATCGCACTTCTATCGTCCAGAATACCATCAAAATGCTGAAATGGGATCTGCTACCGCACCTACCGTATTCACCAGAACTGGCCCCTTCCGATTATCACTTGTTCCGGTCGATGGCGCATGGCTTGGCTGGGCTACACTTGGTCAATTTTGAAGAAGTGCAAAATTGGTTGGATGAATGGTTTCGGTCCAAAGACGCGTCGTTTTATCGTCGCGGTATTCATGTATTGCCAGAGAGATGGTAAAAATGTGTATCTAGCGAGGGATGATACTTTGAATAAACCATTTTCTGTATTTCTCTTGAAATTTTCCATTTTTCATTGATCAAAACAACCCGGAAACTTAGTTGCGTATCTAGTATATGTGACATGAAGGGAGCGGTGCACTTGGACACGGTGTATTTGGACACAGCCAATCACAGCACCGTGTGATTAGAGACATTTGTAGGGTCCCTTGGAACAGCGACTTGTGATTGGACTGTGTCCAATTGCCCCGTGTCCAACTGATATACACCCGACATGAACTGTAGAGTTTTCAGTATTATACATTCCGAACACAGCCAATTTTAATATAATTGACTAATCCCAGGTAGAACAGATAGTCAAAATAATATCAACGACTGACGTCATTTTCAACAAAAAATGACATAAATTTGGTCAATATTTGATCAAAACTATGTCAGATTGGCATTATTTTGATTATCTGTTCTACCCGAATCAAAGAGTCACATTGGCGCAATTGCGCCAAACCTGACAACCTTGTGTTACGTATACATACTATAGATTTTCAATACTGGTAGTGAATATTGAAACAAAACCTTAATATGTAGTGATATATCTTATGTTCAAATCGAAATATATCATAATTTAGTTACATTAACATCATCATTTTTACTGATTATTAAGATGTATTCATTCAACTATTTATACAATTGCAACAAGATATTAAAGCGATGTAAACGTTTCGGAAACTAAAGAGATTCTTTTAAAACACTTTTACTTATAATACAACATATAATTATCTTCTTTATCATTTTAAACTATTTCTTTATCATTTTTACGTCATTTTTGCGTCGTTTACTATCAATGACATTTAAGTGATAAATTATATCATAGTGACGTCCTACTGATGTCATCATGACTTCTGTGTTTTACCTGGGGCATTCACTATCGGGAAAGTCACTTATGTAACTTTGCACGAATTTTAAAATTCTGCGCCATGTGTATGTTACTTATATAGAAAAATTAAAAAAAAAATACTTTTTTAATGAAAAAAGGACGGCAGCCTAAAGGAATCATATGATTTTATATAAAAAATTAATAAATATAAATTTGACATTATTTTAGCAAAGTCAAAGTGAATAGCATCATCAGACTATATTAATAATTAATTGAAACATTTTTCGATGAAATCCTTGATTTTCGAGAAATTTCAATGCATTATTTAAAAGGATATATTAAATTTCTATTCAGTATTTCTACTTGAATTTCAAAAGATAATAATTTGTTCAATGTTGTTTCAATGTTGTAGCAACATAAAGAATCAATGTAGAAGAAATAATATAGATTCAACGTTGAAAAGGTATTTATATTTCAACATCCAACATTACAACATCTCAGCAACGTTATTTCAACTTTCTGTGCTGCATGGGTATTGCGATTAAAATAACATTTAAAAATTACTGAATAACAATAATTTCTAATAAGAAATAAGGATAAAAGAAAAACATAATTTCTATGAGAAATAAAGATAAAAGAAAAACTTATTTTATTTCTTTCAATTTATTAGGTCGACAAATTCATTTGGTACTTTTATGCGCCATCTAGCTGATATACAGTTTAAAAGCATGCAAGAAGTTTGAAAATATATTGACGAGATAAAACTCCTGTTTAGAGGAAGCTGCTCTAATGACTTTGACCTTGACATATATTATATATATTAGTATAGAAGGTCACCCCTTCTGAGTGATCTTCGGAATTAGAGATTCGATTCATGCCGGAAGAAAGAGAGATCGAACGTACCGCGAGACACTCTCTGCCGTTACCGCCAATACCGATCTTGATTACCGTCTGCCGTGTTCCATCTTGTTCAGTTCCGTTTGT